GCACAAGTTACCGTGGTGATCTTTGAAGTTGATTCATCGTCCTCAGACGTTAGACCATACAGGATTAGTTATGAATTAGCCTCACCCGATTTAAGACGATGTTTCGATGCTTGCTACCCGAAGCCTTAAGCTTACAACTGAACATAAACCTAATGTAAAGCTACCTCCCTCCTTCTCTAATAACTGAATATGAAATGTTTATTCACATACAATCTTTCCTCAGACAGTTGTGTTTGCAGCACTTTAGCAGCATCACTCCATGAGTGTAGTGGTGTGCGATTGTGAGGATGTAACGTGGATGTAAGGACACAACAGAGCAGTGTAATTCTCTTCATCAGGAGCTGTTTAGTATGCTGCGGGTGTAAATGGGAGATTGGCAGGGCACTGGGTGGCAGAGCGGGCCACTCTGTCATTAATGTGCCCATCGCTGTTATCATACGCCTAATGACATCGCTCTCAGATAGCATGCTGGGAGCTCGACCGCGGGGAGCCCGGCTCAAACGTCTGCAGGCGCCTACGCCTCCCGTCATCAATTCCACACGTCTCCTCACCAAAATCTGAGGCTGGGGATAATGTGTTTCACGGTTGAGCGCGCTCACAGGGCTTCCCTCCCGCCTGGCCTTGAAATGGGCAAATTAATAGTTCCTTTGAAACAAATTGGAATTACACCCCTCGATGCCTTAATGTCAGAATGCGACAAGCGCTGACGTCCCGGGTCTGACTGCTGATGGGATATGAGGATCTGAGAATCACACCATGTGAGGGGGTGTAAAGATATGCACCCCCCCCCCCCCACACCCACACACACACTTCCTCTCCCTGCTCAGCGTGGACTCGTACTGTACTGTGTGTAGTCTGCATAAAAAGGCTGGAAGTGTTTAATCGTCAGCATCAAGAGGGAAAACCCTTCGGTCCCATGAACATCTATTAAGGCGTTATCCTTGACTGTTTTTTTTTTTCAGAACTCTATTCACTCTAACTAAATTCCCTACTTGCAAAAAGTAAAGGGACTGATTTGACTTTAGATCTTTGAATTATAAAAAAGGTTATTTCCAGAATAACATAATGCATCGTTGATTGAATTCCATGTAAAACAGAAGATCCAGCAACCACAACTAACCAAACTAAATCTAACCTCCATGGTGAATGGACTTGAGCTGAAGCTACACATTCACACACTGATGGTAGAGGCTGCTATGTGAAGTGACCATCAGAAGTAGCTAATCCTGATTGCAGTGGGAGCAACATGGGGTTAAGTGTCTTGCCATGGAAATGGGATCGAACACCCGACTTTCTGGTTGAGAGACGACTGACCGTACCACTGGGCCACAGCCGCTCTGTCCCCCGTCGTAGCAGAACAGCTGTGAAATTCAAGAATTACTTCCCTTTAATGATTTAGATTACTATATTCAGAATGACATCTTAAAGTCTGGATCTTTGATGTTTCCAGTACGTCGTCCTCCACAATATTTTTAAAGAAATTACTCTGAAATGTTGTCACGTCAGTGGATTTGATTGGGAAGTTTGGGGAATCGGCTCGTGGTGTGTGTGTGTACCACCAAAGTATCAAAACTTGCCAGATCATCATCTGAACGGTCGGAAAACAGCTGATTGGGCCGTGATCTGTCACGTGCCTCAGTGTAAAATGCATGACTGATGCATGTGATCTGGCTGAAATTCTGCACGTCTTCACAATCATTCATATGACTCAGAAACTTTAAATCAGCCTGAAATTGCAGAGTGTCAAACGGGCTTCATAGTTCACTATAGAAACCTGATGAGTAAGTAACCTGGGCAGTTCTTTTAACTCAGGGGTTGAGGGTTTCAATCACAGATGAGTTCAAGACATGAATACATTCACTGAAGATAACTGAGTCAGCTATCTTGCAACCTATAGCTTCAATCTGGCTTCATAAAGTCACTTTTATTTCAAATAAAACCTTTTATTGTTGTCTTACTGAAAGTCTTTGAGAGGCTACATTGTTAAAGAACCTCTGTAATGAAGAGATTGTAAAACACAAAACGTGCACTGAGACTCAGTGATGGACAAAGCAAGCGTTGTTTTTGTAGTTCAGATTTATTGGCACTTTAAGGGATAATTCCAGATTAGCTGTGAGCGGCTGACAGAGCTTTGAGCTGAAAGTAGTCTCTGGTCTGACATCGTTTTCTCTCTAAGCTCTCTGATACCACTCATCGAAAATATGTCATCTTCACTGTAAATTATTTTATATCTGAGATGAAATCTGATGTGTCAGGGATCAAATGAAATCAATGCACCCTTGTTGAATCTTTTGTGTGAAATCCTGCGAATGTCAAACTTTCTTTAACCCTTTGTTGGCGTGTATCTAAACATGTCACAGTTTGTCTTTGATGCACAGGATGGCGTCTGTGTCAATGTTCGCTTTAGGTACATATATGTAACAGTGTCAGATTTATTCCTTCCTGACAAATAGTATAAACTACTTTGAGGTATCCTTTAGCATAGTGTTTGAAAGTCAGTGTTGTTTTCCTTTCATACATTCGGTAAGGTCTGCGTTTGTGTAACCTTAGGCTCCATGTCCACCTAGTGTGTTTTCCTTTGTTTTGTTTTTTTAGCGTCTGCGTCTTTTAGATTTTTTTTTTCAGTGAGTAGAGAGTGTTTGCAGCAACAGGCGGCCGCCCGGACAAAAAGCACACCGCCCATCATCTTTTTCCTGAGCACTCCGCCTTTTTCTTGCGGCCGAGCGCTGAACTTTGAAATCTTTCAACTTTTTACAAAGCCGCTGTTGACGTCACTGTCTCGATCCCTAAATGTCTTGGTCTTGTCTCAGTCTCTCCCTGCCTTGGTCTCGATCTCGGTCTTGTCTTGTTCTCGGTCCCGATCCCTAAATGTCTCGGTCTTGGTCTCAGTTAGTGTGGTCTTGACTACAACACTACTTTAGTGTCTGCCTTTCTTCCAGTTGATTCAATCCTCTCTTTCTGCCTCTTGTAAAGAGTTCCAGTTTGGATCATGAAACGTTTGTTTTACACAAACTGCAGCGCATCACTTTTTGTAGTGCGAAAGGTAAACGAAAACAACCTCATTACGAGTAAGATGATCTGAGATAAACTTTAAAACACCTTGCAGCCTCTTTGGCTTCAACTTATTTTCTCTTTCTGAAGTCTTTCCAGCAGTGGGTTTTCGTTTCCAGGGAGATTTAAGTCTGGACCAAAGACTACCAGCAGGTCAAAAAACCATCTGGCCAAGAAAACGATTCAAAACAACCCCGAACTAATCAGACTTTACAACTTATGTAGATACAATCTTTGAGACACGTCTCCAACACAAATGATTTTTAGAACATATACAACAAGGACATTAGTTGGTATGTAACACTTGAAGGGGAAGCTTTGCAGTTTTAACACCGGGACAGTTTTGTCAAATGTAAGGGTCTAAATGGCATTGAGGTAAAAAAAAACAAAAAAAAACAAGTTCTGAATTTGCTCCAGTAGATTTCTTGAAACTCCACTAAAAGTACGCTCGTTTCCACCAAGCGCTTTGCTTTGGTTCAGTACAGTTTGGTACAGTGAACCCTGATCTTGTTTGGGTTCCACAGCCAACAGTACTCACATCACTAAATCACAGCGGCGTGACATCGTGTAGACAGCAAATACTTTCAGCAAAGAAGAAGAACGCGACACAGCAAACAAAGATCAATGATTCTTAGGAAGGTTTGCATCTCCGAGGCAAAAACAGCCTTGAAATGACTCCCTCCAAATCTGCGGGAGGGAGTCTAAATATTTAAACAGGACGTGAAGATTTTGTTCAACCAATCAACGCAATGCAGTGTGTCTAGCTCTAACCTTTGAGGGTCTGATTGGTACGCTTGGCCCCCCCCCAACAGAAAGGTAGCAAAAAATTTGGACGGTACGGGTCAGTTATTCTGGTACCCTTCCTAACTGATAAATGTGTACCTAGCAAACCGAACTGAACCGGACCACTTGGTAGAAACAGGCTTAAAGTTCTTTTTAAGTCCACTGACTGGCTCAGATTGTTGTTCCCTTCAGGGTGGGACAAAACATCGATACTGCAATTTACTGCGTCCTGACTCATGTCATACAATAGTCATGGGGCTGGAGTCGATTGTGGATGTCATTGGACGAGAATGGTTTATTGTGTCCAACACTCATTTAGATTTGGATCTAAACTAACAAATCAAAAACACCAACGTCTACCTATCAGGATGAGGTAATCCTGTGTTTTTTGCACAAACTACTGATTTGGTCGATGGAGTGTGGCGGCTTGAAGGAGCAAAGAAACATCTGATTGTGGTTAAAGGAAAGGATCTTACTGATGTCGTCAGCCACTTTGAGAACTAACCTCTGAGCCCGTCGATTACCAGTGATATCTGTGGACTTTCAAAATAAAGTTGCAGCCATTACCGCCTGTTTCATGGCTGCCAGCTGCAGCAATCTACTGGAGAAATGCCACCGATGTTTATCTACCTGTTAAGCCATTAGAGCCCCCCAAACAATGAAAAAAATGGAGCCCAGGTTTAAAAACAGCGAGGATTCCCCTTTTTTGAAATACTGTAAAGCAAATTTATTTTGGGAACACAGAGCTTCACAAAAGCGTAACTGAAGTAAATGAGAAAATAAGTAGATATTCAAAAAAGGGGGAGAGTAAAAAGATATACATGAATTATAAAAATAAAATCCTCCAGTCGGATGTGGAGTGAGATGACAGTGGAAATCCTTTTTTCACCGCTGACATCGGACTCACACCCACTCTGCCAGCTTCACCTTGTAAACAGGACACTGAGGATACTCTGTGTGGATCATTTTAGTGTATGAAAATAGATTACATGGAAAGTGTCATGATTAAACCATGTGGCTGGGCGTTAACAGTCAGACACACGTCTCTGCTGTAGATGAAGCACAGTGCTGTGTGTGTGTGTGTGTGTGTGTGTGTGTGTGTGTGTGTGAGGCTGGATGAGGATGTCTGATATCTGTGCGTCCGTCCAGCTCTGTTCATAAAAAAGTACAAACTCTATCTTTGAATCTAAAGATATCACGGTTTAAAATGTGTTTTCTAAAATACACCGCTTGCTAAACTATCTGTAGTGCTCGAGTACGCTAGCTGCTGGCTGTCGTTAAACTTTGGGAGGCTAGTAGAAAGTTACGTGTGCTGTAAAGTCTGGACTGAAATGCTGTGATCGGAGGTGAAGCCTCGGGGAGAGCTGTGTGTGTGTGTGTGTTTTGTGTCCTCGCTCAGGTTCAGTTGGGGATCTCCTGCTCTGCCGTCTCCTCTTTAACAGAGTCCTCTTCCTCCAGCTGCTCCTCCTCTTCCTCCTGCAAACACACGGCACGAGGCACTGTCAGATTACAAACAGCTGACCTTTAGATGCATTAAGAGTGATGATGACTTCTGCCGTCCTCATGTCTGCATTACACACTGAAGATGCATGAACACCGGGCCAGCGTTTACACCCACATTACACAATTACATCCCCCCAAAAACAAATCACACCCAGAGTAAACCTTCGAGTACACTGAACCTTAAAAAACTCTGGTAATATTAAACCTGCGCCCTCATCATTTTTATCATTTTTTACTTGTTAATGGGTTGTGTCTTCATTTACATGTTTAAAGGAAAAATATGCAATTTTTCACACTTAAATGTAGCAGAAATCAAGTGAGTCATGACTGTCTACAACGAGTGTGACACCCGAGTCCCTCTGTCCGTGATGTTGTCTGAGCCGTATCTACAGCGTGTTTACATGGACGGGACGGCCGGCCAGCTCATCACCTTTGCGTATACAAGTTGTTTAATTGAGGGACTAGAGAAAAGAAGAATAACATACTGTACTCACTGCTTATCTAAATGCCATGTAAGCGTTTTTAGTTCACGGCCATTTTGGGTAAATTTACATGCAGTGTGAAGATACGAGCAAAATAAAGAGCGCTAGCATTAGCATGCTAACACAACAATGCAGCGCGAGTTGTTTTGGTTTCATGCTGGTGCTCGAAGGGCGACATCTGCTGGATCAAAGAATCGCATATTCTTCCTTTTATGGCATGAATACGCTTAATGATTTGAACCGTGTTTATCAGCGTTGATACACTGAGCTTTTCCGACTTTGAAACCGTTTTTTAAATCACCATTATACACTTCAACACATCTTGGACAGAGATACTCAAAGATCAGAACATTTACTATTTATTCATGACAAAATGACCAGATTGTGAACGTGAGTCTTAAAGCCAACACAAAGAAAGTGACACACGGCGAGCAGGAGTCACGACGGGCCAGCTGATTTAGCAAAGCAGACAAAGTGAAAGTGACAGTGGAGAGAGCTGCAGCGGTGATTAAACGACTCTGACAGATACAATTATCCCCCCTCCAGAGGTTAATGAACACATCTACACACCAGAATGTGCGATCACCAGGTTAGGATCCTCAGCCCACAACACCTCGTGACTCCACATTCCTGCAGCCAGCCGAGAGCAGACATTAGCTCTAATTCTCTGTCAGTCAAACATGGCTGCTCTCTCTCGTATGGACTCTTTGTGTGCTCAAATGAATCATTAACGTCCCTGAAATATTCTGAACTCTCCCTGTTAGACTCATCCTGCAACAATCTGCTCCATGCACACATCAAATCTTTGTATTTCAAAACTTCGACATAAAACAAAACCACATTGTAAGCGATCCCCATGGCAACAGTTTTGAATACTGCACAGTGTCCCCAATGAGGGCTTGCTAATTAAAAGAAACAGAATACATCTTTTAACAAAAAGCTGTGACGGGGAATTTAACTGGTAGAATAATTCGACATCAGACTCTTGGTGGAGAGAAGAACATAGCCGCCCGTGTTTTTCAAAAATAAAACAACTTTCTCTTCTTTGAATTCAACACATTTTTTTCAACATTTGGTCTCAAATGTCTTACGCTTGTACTTATATATGATAAAAAAAAAAATCTTTATTGTCAAAGCATATATAGTGATGATAAATGTGAAGATGCTAAGCCAAGGATTCTACTTCCATGCAAGTAGTTCTGAAGCTAGGAACCCTCCGACCATGAGACTCTTGAGGAACATTGTGAATTCCATCAGCTTTATGGAAAAAAATGACTTTTGTCCTGCGACTTCAAAAGGAGAAGGGAGAAGAATATTGGAGAAAATGGGATTTATACAAAGATAAAGACTCGTAAATATATCTTTTTTCATTAGAATGTACCGTCCATTATGTACTGTACCTGTGCCTTTTACATTCTTGTATTTGATCTTATTCATACTGTCTTGCCCAAGTCCTCACTTGTTCTGTGTTTCTTGTAAAACAAAAAATATAAAGTATAAAAATAAAGTATTAAAAAATGTTGAATTAGCTGGTATAATGTTTAGCATGTTTAACAGCAAAGTTCAGTATACCAGCATGCCAACATAAGCCAATTAGCCACAGACTTTGGCTGTTATCGAAACCGCCTACTACATACTATTATTGAACCCAGTATGCAGTATGTACTGGTTTCTGGTCTTGAAATGCGGAAGTAAACAACAGCCCAGCTGACGGAAAACGCTGCTACAGTGTAGCATCCACTTACAGTCTGAATTTTTTTTTCTCATGATTTTGAGAATCAATAAAGAGAATTGTTTGTATCTTTGTGTGGTTCCGTCTGATTGTGATTATTTCCTCTGATACAGTGGCTGTCCGTCATTTTGATCCCTGACCTGGCGCTTTGCATTGTTGGGAAACAATGATGTTGTATCACCTGTTTTCACCATGTGGAGTTTGATATCCTGATAGCTACTGGTACTGGAGTTGTTATAAGCCTGCAGTAACGTGGACTGTTGCGACGAGAGGATCCAAAGCAAGCAACCAATTTAGCTAGAGCGCTGCCCACCTCCTCTGGTCACTTGCCGTCTTCCCATCGCTGCTAAAACATGACGCAGTCAGCCTAGCTTTGCACAGTGAAGCGGCTGTTGTGATACGAAAAAAGAATGGGGGTGAATTTCAATCACTCCAGTTTATGTATGTGATTGTGGCGGCTGCACATGCTGTCATGCATGTCTGTGACGAAGCTGTACATAGATTATAGTGCCATAAAGTGACCTCTGTATTCTAAAACTGTCGGTATATTGGTTGCACTGGTATCGATTGATAGCGTTCAAGAAGGCTTTTATTTCTAGCTCTCTCCTGCAGTCAGTTTAAGAAGTAAAGAATCCTTCCAGAGGAGAGTGGAAAACATCTTCAAGACCTTTAACCAAGTCCAGTTGCTTTTTGGATCAGGCCTTGAATTACCATGACCGGGATGACTGAGGACCTACACAGACAGGTGAATGTTGAGCAATGGTTAACATGGACTTCTGCTCTCCGTTTTATTGCTCCATTCCTGCTAATGACATTGGATGATTCTTTCAGATCTAGAAGAATGAGTCTTGCCTCTTCCTTTCCAGTAATTTGAATCGTACCCTCGGTATCATAACGTCAACTTAGTTCGTCAAATGTTCAGTTCTGATGCATAAAAACAAACAACCTGTTTATTCAGTTGCATTTCAGACAACTTGAACTTGGTGTGGAAATACTTTGAAGACTGGTTGCCATGTCAACATCATGAAAGCTGCTCTGATGTCTGATGAGTACGACTGAGACACACACAGGCTGATTAAAGCTAATCATAGATGTACCAGGGGCCATCATGGTAAGTCATAACCACTCGACCCACTTACTGACACCACATGGGGTTGAAGACGTTATGGGAAATTATTTAACTTCAATAGTGATGAGAAAACTGTGGAGGCAAGTCCCGAGGAATTTACCAGATATACTGTAAAGATTCCTCGACATATTTCATTCTTTATGACTCTTTCCAGATAACTGTTTGCCGATGCAGATTGCAAATGAACGTGTCAGACATCCTGGGATGAAGATGAGCTGAACTCGTGTATTTCCTGTAAATAAATCCGAGCGGAGGAAGTGTGCAGCTATCTGCAGACGTAGTTAAGGCATGTGTAGAAACAGTAAATTAAGGTTAGGGTTAATGCAAAGGACGGCTCGTATATCATCTCTTTACTAACAGGAACCTTGTCGCTGCCTCCGGAGCCGTCTTGATATGCGGTCTCGCCCGGAGAAAAATGTGCTACTTTTTCCTGAACTCTGGATACTTTGAGGCGTCGGTCCACGGGGCTGATATAAATCTCGCTGTGGGGTGACACCTCATGAACTCCGCCATCGTATACATTCCCGCCATCCACCAAATCTCCCTGACAAGCCTGCCAATTTTCCAATTACCTGTGGCGCCATCCGTTATCAGAGGGCCGGTCAGCTCTTAAATGGGAAACAAGAGGTGGGAGGGGCCAGAGCATGCTAACTATCTCATAAAGCCGGAGATGTGCCTCCTCTGCCTCCCCTTCCTCTGATTTAGTGTGCGTCCCTGAGGAGAGGGGTGACGCCAGGCCTCCTGGCCTCTTGGGGCCTTCACAGGATTTCTCTGCTCTTTATCCTCCTCACTCTCTCCAACCCTCAGCCACCCATCACTCCGCCTCAAGGAGCAGACGGGTGTCGTTGGTATTATCCTGCTGTCTGTCTGCCTGCAGAGCCTCCCTCCTCCTCCTCCTGTGGGTAGAAGGGTGGCAGCGAGGAGAGATGCAGCCCAATCTCCATTCGTTTTCATGTTGTTGTTTTTTTTGTTTCAGTTGAAATGCAGCACTTAAAGTGATACTACAGCAGAAAATTTCCCTCCACTAGTGCCCACTCCTCATTCATCTGCCCTCATACTCAGGCATATGGAGTGAGTCTGCAGAAAGTGTCTGAGCAGTGTGCTATTTAAAGTGTCACAGAGACAGAGAACACAAGCTGTCCATCATATTTGAAATGCACATTTCACCTCGGATAAGTTGTTTGTGGGGAGGTGTCAGAGAGCACAGACGAGGTGGAAAGTCTGTCTGCCAATATCTGTGCTGCAAGATGACTTTAACCTCTTTTAGAATTGGAAGCATTATTCAAAGCTGCATTCATTGAGTTCACTAAGGGGCAGCAGGACATGCTTTGCAACACAACATATTTTGGCACATTGCCTTTTAAATCTTATATTGCAAATGTTTTGCTGACATTTGAGGAGCAAGATCGATATGGATTCAGGGTTTATTACGTTGATTTGAGGAAGTTACTGAAAAAAACATTTTAGAGATAGGTCTCTTTAGAAGATTTATTCTCCTGTATGGTCCTCAGCAAGCTGCAACATTGTCTGCTATTGTGTGCAGCTGGTTTATTCCACAGATGTTTCACTAACAAAAACATGAAGTTAAAGAGCGATGATCATACACTGAGTGGAGTGTCAATAAAATGAG